ACTCAGATTGGTGAAGGGGTAAAAAGAATATATCTCCCGTTGTGCGTATTAATCTTATGGGATGTTATTATATATAGGCCAGTCAGGCCGCCAGTCGTTTTTTGCTGCGCATAGGTCGCTGCCCTTATTGCCACCCTCCTATATTTTGTCATTACGCAGGAACAAGCTTGTTTATATATATACTAAGTTGAACACGCGGCTGCAAAAAAAAAATACGGCTACCGCGGGAAAAAAAAAAAATGTATTTTGTATGCTTCATATACCGCTGCTTGTTTTATGGAAAAAAAAAATAAAATTAAATAATACCTATATATAACATATAGGGCAATTTTCCCTTGCGCATGAAAAAAGGAGGAAAACTGCCATTCGTATTATTTTTGAGAAAGTCCCTTTTGACACCATTTCCGCGTTGCATTTTTTTACGTAACCAAGAAAACGCAAAAAAAAAAAAATAATAACAAAGCAACGGGAGAAACGCATGGGTACATATATATATTTATATTTACGTTGTTTTTTTTTTTTTTTTTACCTACATATGTTCGAGCATCCAAATTGAAATAATTTTTTTTTGTTTCAAAAGTTTACCCCTTTTTGTGACCCCATGTGGCTTTGAAAAAAGCAAAATTGTGAGCATTCCTAAGAATTGTGCGTTGCCGTTTGAAGAAGTGGGCCAAGCGAAAACGTGTAGGAGGACCATACTACGTAGAGAGGCGCATAGAGGAACAACGAGGCTCAGAGGAGACCTACAGAATTGTACCATCTTGCGATCTCACGTAGGTAAATACGCTGAAGGCAAACATATGATGTGAAGGCACATGCGGGAAGAACTGCATATGTAAAGAAAAAAAGGGGAAGGCGTCGTTTTGGGGGAAGTCACCCTGATCGTGGCAAAAGGAGGAGAAGCGCTCCCCTTGAACCACGCGGCGTATATGTCCATGAAGCTTATCCCCTAACGTATGTTCCAATTTTGCATGGGCTTCCAAATATTTCATACTTATAATTCATGTTCCAATTGGCGGCCACAGCGATATGTCTCACCCCCTTTAGCGCACCATTTGTGGTAGGAAGATCTGCTTGGTCTCACTCCCCCATAAGTGTGAAGCAAAAAGGAGCACACTAAAAAGGGTGAGCCGCTACACCGGGTATTGCCATCCGGTGCACCTTCCCTTCGCGTACCCCCTCCCCGACATTAGTAGCAGCAGTGTGGTGTATTGTCCCAAAAAAGGGGGGAACGTGTTTTTTTTTTTTTTTTTTTTCGTGGGGAGAAAAAATTGCAACGTTGCCGAGAGGGTTGCAGAGAGCGTTGCCAAGAGATTATGGTTCAGGTTGGAACAAAAATAAATGTGTCGAACAGAATGAGGATGGATTACAGCGGAGATGTTATGGACATGGAGGGAAACGACCTGGTAATAAATAACGTGCACAATGTGGACAATAATGAGAAGGGTGGAAAGTACAGTGTGCGTTTGTTTAAGTTAAAATCGAAGAACGACAAGTCAAGGGAATATGAAATTAACGACTGGATGTCGTCTGAATCATTCTTGAAAGGATACGTACACAGCAGCTCCGATTTGGTGATGCTATCAGATAATACTTTTTCACTATATGATTGTGAAAAAAAAAAAAAAAACACGTTAACAAATTTAAATAATTGTGAACCACTCGATTTTGTATACTTTAAAAAAAACATGATATTTATACAAAAGAATAAGTGTTCACTATTTCAAGCGAAGACTACTGGGAAGTGTAGCGTTATGTTAAATTTGAAGGAGCCTCCTGTGAAGGTGAATTTTTGCTCCCATATGAAAAACATGATATATTTGAGTACTAAAAGTAGAGTATATTTTTTAAAGCTACTTTACTTGAAGGACAAAACTTTGAAGCTGAGTAATACTAACATGAACCTGCCTGCAAAATGCAGACAAGAGGAACATGTATACCATTCGCATCGAAATGAACATTTGCAAGGGAGGAACGAATACAAGGAAGTCATACACGTTTGTAGTTACTCATGTAAGGATGTCACTGTGTACAAATTGGTAAAGGGAAAAGTGAAGAATAAACAGAAATGTTTTACCAAGCTCGATATAACAATGTTTCATGATGACTCCATAAAAGGAGCTTTTTTTTTCAAAGTCAAACACCCCTCGAGGGGTTGCAACTGGGGTGAGGAGTCCGCACCAGAGGAGACACATCTTGGCACCTCCAATGAGGGGGAACACTCTAACGATGTCGTAGACGCAAGTGAAGTACTTGAAGGGGAAGGCCAAAATGGGCACATACAAGTATCCCATGAACAACAAACAAGCAGCAAATCTCGTACAAAGGAAGAGGTTGTGAAGCTGTACCTACTCATATACAGCGACAGTGGCAAAGTCCTGATCTATCTCATTGATCACCTGAACATGCCCCATTTTAAGTTTGGCCTAGCACACGTCAGGAAGGCCCCACTAGCACACATGCAATTGCCATTTAAAGTAGCACAAATGTATAATGCTTCTGATAAACTGCTAAAAAGAGTAATGAAGCAAAAATATATTATACAAAAGAAGAAAGAAGATTCTCCGAATTTTTTAAAATATTTAGAACACATGGTTACGAAATATGCCTACATAAGTAATAACTTTTTTGTGGATACAATTTTAATAAATGAAAAATCAGCTATTGTTTATACTATACAAATTCGTCACGATTTTTTAAGCCTTCCAGAAAAGGGTACAGAAACTGTGCTGCTGAAATTGATGAATACGAATGAGAAAATTGTAGCGATTAGAGATGTGGAGGATAATGAGGTGAAAAAAAATTTGGTGCACAAAATTATGAACGAATCTAAATTTTCCTGCTACTCTGATAGCGATTCCTATATTGATAGCGACATCACGTGGAATGACGACAGTGACAAGACGGACAGTTGCGATGAGGACAGATCGGATTACAGCGAGAGTGATGTGACTGCGGAACAGGGGCATGTGAATAATGGCAAGGGGGATGATGACGCGGTTAAACTGCACGCTGCCGTTAGTGGCGAGAACACGCAATTAGAACAAGTGATTTGCAATGAGTCGAATAAAAAGGCTTCAAAAAGATGTGACCTTAACCATGTGAACAGCGACTCGCATGATGACATGTCTGCCCCTGAGGAAGAATACTCCGATGGAAGCAGCCATGAGATGGGTCATCTGAAAGGGGGAGAGGAATGCGTTACAAGGGGAACCCCGCAGGAGGTGGACGAATGCGAGGTCACCACGAATGTGTCCAGAAATGATGGAAGCTTGACCAACTCGACACGCGAAAGGAACGGGACACACGCGTCGTGTAGTTCTACGCCGTCCTTGGGGGGCAGCGACAGTGTACAGTGCAGGCTGGCGGAGGAACAAACGTACGAATTGGGGGAAGCAGGAAAGGTAACCAGAATGAATGGACTGAGGGCCGTGAACGATGATATGGCTGATGGAGTGGGCAAACAAAAGGGAGAGGAAAGGAAAAAAAGAAAATTGAAAAAGGAGGAAAGCACACCAGAGGTGGAGATTGTAAAGGGAAATTTTACACAACGAGCAAAAGTAAAGAAGGCTAAAGTAGGAGATAGTTCATTAGACGAATTGACATGCGAAATGGCAGATGATGTGCCGAGCAGGAACAAAACGAACAAGACGGAGGAATGCTTTAACGATATTGACAGCCACTCCGAAGGTGAAATGAAAAACAACGATGACCAAAATGTAAGCACCGCCAGTGACAAATTCATAGCATTGTCATCCATGATAAAGCTAAATATATCCCTAGGAAGATACCATGTTATAAATATGTTGGTTAATATAAAGGACAAAAAACTGATCAACGATACAGTTTCCAATTTGGGAAAAAAATATTCCATAAAATTGTTAGAGTTTCTTTTGAACTCTCTAGCCAGGAATAGATTTTTTCTAGGAACTTTTTTTTTGTGGATTAAAGCCATATGTAAAGAGTATAAGGAGACGCTCAAGGGCAAGAAGTATCGGAGATTGGTGACCAAAATATCTCTCCTCGCAGAAAACAATTTGAAAAATGAATGTATAATAAAACATGTTATAAACAAAATTGATTTTACCATCGACCATATTAGAAAAAACCAAATTTCGGACAATGACGAAATTTTAAATTATCAAGATGGAACCATCATCAAGTGAAAGTAGAGTGTGTACTGAAGGGGAAAATGTTTTGCCGCACTGCAAAAAAAAAAAAAAAATGAAATAAAATTCATGTCAGGCATGGTCTCATAATGCAAACAGACCCATGTACCAATAGACGCACGCGCGCGGCAGTTGTAAATAAAAGGCAAAACGTTTAATTTATTTTTTCCCTTGAGTACAAAATAATGGGAGACCAATGTGTGTACATATATATACATGCATCTTTCCCAACGTACATGTATTTGTCCCCGTATGCAAACAACACCCCGTGAACCGCGTACACGTGGGTGAAAAAGGCGGGGTAAAACCCTAACGGAAAACCGCCCCAACTGCATACTTTTTTTTTTTTTTTTTCCTATTTGAACGTGTATTCGCTTGATCATTGCCTGTTTGCACGAAATTGCTAACCGGAAAAGAAAACGAATACCACTTCGTATGGGTAATTTGCGGAGTCATAGTTTGTGCGCAATTAAAAATTGGAAACAAATCCTGTTTGGTTTATATATCACAATTTTATGTAAATTTGTTTTAAGTGCGCATGTTCATTTCGCCCAAGTGTTTATTTGTTTCCCTGTTTTTATTTACAACTTTTTTTTTTAATCGTTGTTTAATTCGTTGCTTATTCGTTGCAAATTCGTGGCATATGCGTTATTTATGCGTAGCCTATTCGTTACCTATTCATTTACCTAATTAACTTTTTTTTTTTTTTTTTTCTTAAAAATATTTACCCTCCTAAAAGGAACTTTTAAAAAATGACACCCTTAGCGTAACAAACGGGAAGGAGTCAACGAGCAACAAAGCAGCTGTGGCCTTTTGAAAATTCGTCCGCGTCGCGTCCCTACAGTTGTATGTGAACGTGTGCATGTGCATATACGTGCATGCATAAATGGTTATATTCACGTGTATTACCTGTTTGCATTTCGTCCTTCCTCTTTCTCATTGCCAGCCGCTACCCCTATTAATGGGTGAATAATAGAACAACCTGTTAACTCAATGAATGGACGAAAACATGGATGAAGTTTTTGTGTCCTATAACGATATGAGTGCGTCTATGCGCGTCCACACGCTTGTGCAAAGAAGCGTTAATTTTCCATTCTTTTTTTTCCCCCATTCTTCTTGCTACAAAATAACACGGTTGTTGCCTTCCTTGTCCTATTTTTTAGTACAAGACAATGAGTATGAGACAAGCGTGGAATCATACAAGGATGTGCACGAGTTTTTGGAAAATTCCGCTGAATCCAATTTCCAATATTCAAATGAAAGTCAAAATTCAAGCGTTGGCAACACCTGTTCCACGGATGAAAAGAACATCCCCCTATTCTCCTACGTAAGTAATGACTTCAAGTTGAAAAGGGGGAGAAAGTATAAAAAATGCTACACAGTTAGCTACATAAATAATATGAACAGGTCAGCAAAAAAAAAAACAAAAAACAAAAAAAGACAACAAAGAGCAGCAAAAAAACAGACAAAAAGGCAGCCAAAAAATGCTGTACCTAATTCACCACCAACTCTGCTTAATTCACTCCCCCTTTGTTACCCCGAAAGTGCTGAGAACTTCCCGCTTAAGGCATATGGACGAGTGCCCCCCAACAGGGATAAAACAAAGTGAGTTTTCTTTAAATCTCCTCGCCAAATGCCCCTACACAATTCGACATTTTGTGTGCGCAGAGAACTGCTCCCTTATATACAACAAAGGATAAATCCCGAGCGCGCTTCTGCTCAAGTAAAAAAGGTTAAGTCACTTCCAAATCGAAAACCTTACATATGTAACACTATGTATGCACATCCCTTGTGTCAGCAGAGTAATCAATTTTCAGTGGAAACCCTTGGGAAAAAATGTTCCCGAAATTGATAAGATAAACTTATCCTATAAGAAAGCTTGGGATATAGGAAAAGAAGGTATAAACAAGATTGTAAGAAATGAACACATGTTTGTTTAAGCAACATAGAGACACCGCGCCCCTGTGTGTTACTTTAAAATGTCTTGTATGTACTATTTAAATAATTTTTCGCGGTGAAAAGACAGGCACAAAGATTCCCCCCGTTTCTTGTTGAACAGGTTGCAATGGGTTACTAATTAAAAATATATTCGAAATATATAAACAGAAAAAGCTGAATTACATGGTATTAGATGGCACAAATATAGGTACAACACTTACGTCATTATAAAGAGTGATAGTATACTTTTGAATAACTATACGTATACATGTACAGAATGTACATGTGCCCGTATTTTTCGTGTTCACCCATTTTGTTACATTTGGTGAACCAAGTTTTCCTTGGTTAGTATAACTGTGTATACAACAAGGTATGATGCTCAAACTACATTTTCCTGATTCACCTCTGTAGACAACTTTTTGACGGTGTACTCTCACACGTACCAGGCCGCTATAAAGGGTGTGACTCCCAATGTGCTACGAACGTTCAGGTAAATATGGCGTATATCACAGGGGTGACTTTCTAAAAATGCAAGAGTGTGTTCATACCAATAAGGATATCTCCGCACGGGTGAATGCACGTACACTTCCATTCAGCATTTCAGAAGAGGTGCAAACCTACAAGCAATTTCCCCCCTTTTTTTTTTTTTTTTTCTTTCCATCAACATGCAGCTTCTACGATCTGGAGAATGCTTACTTTATGTACGACGTTAAAAGCATCCATATTTTCAGAACCGTGAAGGATAAGCATAAAGGAAAAAGCGTGATACTAAAAGGCTTAAACGATAACTTCTTTAATGCTATATTGGTGTGTATGTACGAAATAGTAATTTATTTAAATTTCGCTAATTGTGAGCATCACTCGCAGAATAAACCGAGTAACAAAAAGTGGAATAAAAAGGGGGACGAGTTGGACGAGAAAACCTACTATGTTAAATCAGCGAGAAACGAACACAATGCTTACTGTAGTAACATAAAGGATGTCATATCTCATAACAAAAATAAGAAAAAAATAAATGGTGCCTCGGGGAATGCCGCTTTTATCCGTGAAGAAATGGGAAAGGCGAAACGGAGTAGGAATTTGTCCGCAGGGGGGAAAAACATGAACACTGATAAAGAAAACTCAAACGATATCACACTTTGGTCGTCCAATAATCACGAAGAGTTTGGTTATGAGTACATCAAAGACATAATAAAAAAAGAAGAGAAGGAATTGTACGAGACAGACAAAATGTACCACAACAGCAATGATGAGTACTCGTCGCACACGTCCGATAGTGCACAGCAGTCAATATGTTCAACGCGCCGAGAGGCCGAGGGAGAACCTTAGCAGTGTCAGAGGTATCAGCTTGTCGAGCGATCACCCAATAGGAGTCTGTATCTAGGGGAGCCACATGTGCAACTACACGCACACACATACAGGCGCGATGGGTGGTGCACAAACATCAACTCTGTAAAAACAGAAAACTTGGGATGGTGCAGAGTCTGGGGGTAGGAGAAGTAACAGGGGGACGACGGAAAGAACACCGACCTACGCCCGCAGCTAGAGTCACTACAAAGCACGCAGCGTCCGCATCCTGTGGCCTATCGTTGCACCCCTTTGTTGCCTTACGTCCACCTAAAAATAAGTGCTAATTAATTATTCTTTATATTGTGCGTATCGTATTATTATAAAAATTAGGGTTCGGCACAACGCCGTACATTGATGCATGCGCAGGGGTACGTATACTACATATATAAGTACATACATACGTACGCAAATATATATGAACATATTTATATGTACTTATGCGCGCGCTGTCTGCATATGCGCTTGCACACAAGAAAATGTTGCCAGTGGCTAGAAAAAAAAATTAAAAAAAAAAAAATATGGTACAGGCGAAAAAAACTTACGCAAAATGATCGATTTAAAAAAAAAAAAACAGGGAAAAAGGGGAGAAGAAAGAAGAGGAGTTTCACATATTATGTGTAGAAAGAATGCAACAGTTTCAACAAAAATTGATAAGGTATATAATATATGCGCGGAAGGCGCAGGGGTATAAAATAAATATATTTCACACACTAACGGGGGATCGCGTGACACAAATGGGTTGTCTATGATGTGAACCTTAGACCAATCCCATTTGGGACGTACGCACGTGTGCACGAATACATACGAACAAATATGTATGCAGCGGTGTGGGGGACGTGGTTATACATTTATACACTTATATGTATATGCATACAATACATACTCGTGCACATGAACGTGGCTATACAATTATTAAGCATACTCATCTAATTAGATTGAATTTAAAAAAAAAAAAAAAAAAAAAAAAAGGGGCTTGTTGAAACTACAAACAGATAAACAAAAAAAGTGAGAGGTGTGGACTGGGAAGGAAAAGCGAAGCAGGAGGCAAGACGTAATAATGTACTTACGTAATAGTGTAATTACGTAATAATGTAACTACGTAATAATGTAACTACGTAATAATGTAACTACGTAATAATGTAATAATGTAGTAACGTAAAAATTGTAAAAGTGCAGGTCTCGGAAGAAACGTGATTTGGAAGGCATAAACCCTATGGGGTAAACCATTCGTGTGCAAGCACTAACAACTGCGTTTGAAATGCTTAAGTCTGGGAAACACGGAAGGGCGAGGGGAAATGAGGTTGTGTTTATACGCCGTGGGGTTATAATTAAATAGGGACAAATTTGTGTCGCTTCAAAATATTATTTCACAAAAGAGGGGGGTTTTAGTTAAAACAATAAGGAATAGGTATAGCATTCCGAAATGTTAAAATCAAAAGGGGAGAGAAATTGTTTATCATTTTTATTTTATTTATTCAAATAGGGTGTTTTGAATTTTAAAGGTGAATTCATCACGTGTGCGTATTTTCTGCTATCGTCTTTTTAACTTCATGATGTAGCTGTTGTATTGGTCCTATGATGGGGGGGGAAAAAAAAAGGGTGGATGAACATTCGCATGGTCGTATGAGTCACACATATGCGGATGTGAACAGTACTCGTGTAATCAGGCGTACAGGTATATGCGTACGCATTCCGCCTCTAAATCGCGC